CCCTGGCGTACGCCCTTCCCAATTTTGAACCATGCAGTGTGTCCTTGCTCTGTTCTGATGACTGCCTCTTGGTCAAAGTATAGGTTTCTCATTAGCATGATCAAGTGTTCTGGTATTCCCATTCTTCTCAGAGTCAGCCACAGTTTGTTATGATCCACACAGTCAAATGCCTTTACATAGTCAATGAAACACAGGTAGTCATTCCTCTGGTACTCCCTGCTTTCAGCTAAGATCCATCTAACATCAACTACAATATCCCTAGTATCACGACCCCTTCTAGCCCCAGCCTGGACTTCTGGCAGTTCTCTGCTGATGTGTTGTTCCAGTAATTTTTGGATAATCTTCAGTAGAATTTTGCTTGCATGTGAAATCAATGATATTGTTCTATCGTTTCCATACTCTGTTTGGTCAACCCTTCTTTGGGATAGGAACAAATATAGATCTCATCCAGTCAGTTGGCCAGGTGGTTGTTCTCCAGATTTCTTGGCACAACTTGGTGAGCATGTCCAGGGCAACATCTGTTACCTGAAATACGTCAATTGGTATACCATCTATTCCTGGGGCCTTATTTTTTGCTATTTCCTTCAAAGCTGCTTGACCTTCTTCCTTCATCACCATAGGCTCTTGCTCATATGTTGTTTCATGAAATTCTTCTGTGTCTGCCAATTGCTTTTGATACAGTGACTCAGTATATTCTTTGCATCTTCTTTTAATACTTCCTGGATCATTTAATATTCCTGCCTAAAGCATCCTTGATTATAGCAACTCGAGGTTTGAATTTGTTCTTCAGTTCCTTGAGCTTAAGAAATGCTGAGCGGGGAGCTCTGGTGGCCTAGTGGCAAGGAGCTGCAACTACAATCCCAGAGGCGCACGGTTCGAATCCACCAGATGCTCTGCCAGGAAAGGAGGGACAATTTTCTCCTGTATCAGTCAAATCTGATTTGACGGTACACGCACACAAAAATAATAAAATTTTAAAAAAAGAAAGAAATGCTGAGCGAGTTCAGCCTTTTGATTTTCTGACTCCACCTCCTTACACATTTCATTGTAATATTTTCTTTGTCATCCCGTGCTGTCTTTTGAAATCTTCTATTCAACTCTGTTAGTATCTTTTTTTTTTCTTTTAGTATCTTGAATTCTTCCCTCTGCTTTGGCTTCTCTGCACTCCAGCTCAATTTTCAGAGTCTCTTCTGATATCCATTTTGGTCTTTTCTTCCTCTTCTGTCTTTTTTCCTCTAGGAAAGCTTAAACGTCCCCACCAGAGCAGCACACCAACCCTGTAGGGTTAGAATGTGATGGTTGGCACTAAACCAGCCTACGTCAGATCTCGCTTCCACCACCTACTAGCTGTGCAACACTGAGATCACGAAGCAACCTCCCTGATCCTCAGTTCCTTCCATTTTAGGATAAGGGGATTAGTCTTTACCTCATATGGCCATTGAGATGGCATCAAGGTTCCTAGTAACAAGGAAATGAAAGGGCTGGCATTAGCTGTTTCCCCACTGGTCTTGGTCCCCAGAAGCCAGGTTCCCAGTACTAATCCTCTGTGAGTCCACATATGCACAATGTCCTGCTCAGAGCAGATGTCCAGTCAGTCACTGACCATCAGACAACCAACCAGGCAAGCACCCAAATGCCCCAAATGAGTGATGACTGAATGAATGGAGGTGGGGTCACCCAACAGACTCTCCCATGTGGAAAATACAAGGATGATCACTGTGTTGACATGAGGATTTTAGGAATATCCTCTACCTATGATGTAAGAAAGGGGAAAATAAGAATACGCATGCCTTGTGCGTGAAGAAATACTGAAAGGACAAACAAAATACAACAGAAAGGGCTACCTATTTGGTTTGGGCATTTTTATTTTAAATAAATGATTTTATCTTTTGTAGATATAGTGAATTATTTATGAGTGAAATGAAAAGATTCCTGAGGTTTGCCCAAAATAACACATGAGTAAGAGACTGGAGGTCAGAGGAAAAGGATCAAGCTTGGCCACATGATGGTAATTGAGGATTCTGGGTACGTTGTGGTTCATTTTGCTAATCTACCTACTGTCACATCAGTTTGAAGTTTTTAATAATACTGTGTTGGATTTTGGGGTTTGGTTTTTTTAGGATATTGTTTTTATTTGTATTTTTGTTATTTTTAAAATTGTGCTGTTGTTAGCTGAGTCGATTAGAACTCATGGCCAGCCCTTGGGTTACAGAGCAGAATGGTTCCACTCAACTTCCCTGTCTGTAATCTTTTTTTTTAAAAAAAAGAAAAGTAGATCTTTTTTTTTTTTCATTTTATTGACTTTAATAAATAAACATTTACAGAGATTTTGGATTTCCATTCATTCATTGTTGCATTTTTCTCCCTGTCCCCCCTCCCCCAGTTCACTCTTCTCTTTGAAAAGTTAAAGAAAAATTCTTTCATTGGTATACAATCCTCCCCCCTGCCCCTCACCTCAGTACACTCCACTATGCAACCTTCATTCTGGACTCTTGTCATTTCCATAATACCCAATCATATATTGTTTTTAAACAGTTCTCTCCCTCATCTGTTTCAATGCACTATACATAATTTATCCATTTTTTCTCAGTCTCTCCCCAACCCTGATGTCAGTCCCATTCTACAACAGTGGCACTATGCAGTATTTGTCCTTTTGGTCCTTTTGTGACTGAGATATTTCACTCAGTATATTGTCCTCCAGGGTCACCCATTTTGAATAATATTGCATGAGTTCCTTGTTTTTCAATGCAGCATAGTATTCCATTGTGTGAATATACCACAGCTTCTCTATCCATTTGTTTGTTGATGGGCACTTAGGTTGTTTCCAATTCTTTGCTATTGTGAACAAAGCTGCAATAAACATGGGTGTGCATCTATCTGTCTGTAATCTTAATGGAAAGGATCCTCAGTGGCACTATAGCCTAAACACTGGGATGCCAACCAAAAGGAGGCCATCTGCTCCCATAAAGATCTGTTGTTTGTTGTTGTTCTGTATCATCTAGCTGAGAATGACAGATAGCTAATCCATCAGCTGGTTTTCAGAGGCAATAAATCAAATGGGAGGATATAGCCCATTCTTCTCTTGTGGAGCAGATGGTGGATTCAAGCCACCAGCCTTTGAGTTGGCAGAACAGCTCCTTACCACTAGGCCACCAGAGCTCATGCCCAAAGATTCACAGTCTTCAGAGACCTGTGGAGCAGATCTACTGAGCTTATACAGGGCAGTTGTTCTACTTGGCTTTAGAGGGCCACTATGGGTTGGAATGGAATTAATGACAGTGGGTAATCTTGACACAAGCAGATCAAGGCCTTTTCTTCTAGACCACTAATGACTGGGTTTTAACCATCAACCTAACAGTTAAACACAAACTTAAACATGTCCATTTCGATGGGATTGAGCACCTTCACACTGTTGTTCAATTATCACCACTGTCTAGTTCCAAAATGTTTTGCTCACTCCCACACCCACCAACAGTCACTAATTAAGATGTTAATTACGTTAGCTAATAGCATAAGAGAGAATTCTTATGGCCTAGTGGCAAGAAGCTGCACTGCAGTCCCAAAGACACACAGTTTGAGGCCAGCAGCTGCTCTGCCCTGTGGGAGAAGGATGGGCCATCTCCGCCCCAGTGATTAACTACCTCTGAAAACCTGTCAGCAGGTCAGCTATGCATTGGCTCCGACTCTCTGGTACACAACCACAACAACAAGATTATAAGATATGAATATTTCTTTAATTCTAAGCACCACTATCCTCATAATGACAAAAAATAGTAGAACCATCCTAGACCCTAGATGAGGGGACGATTACATGGATAGAGGGTGAAGGTCCTTGAGTATGGTAATTCTTAAGACAATGCACTCAGAATTTGTTAAGCACATATTTTCTTTTTAATCACTAAAAATGTAAAATAATACAATATTATCTTATTACATATAATATACAATAGTTGGGAAAGAATAGTAATAATATCTTGTCCATTTCTACTGAGGGAGAAGGCTGAGCTGTCTCCTTCTGTGTGATTAAATGCCTCTGAAAAGACACTTGAGCATCAGCTGTGGGTTGGTTGTGACTCGACGGTACACAACAAAACAATATCCACTTGTAATGAGAAGCATGAAGATGACAAAAATGAAGAAAATTACTTAAGTTTATAGGGACAAAATACACTCCAAAGTCACTTCTGTCTGACCAAAGCAGGGAATTTCAGCCCTACACCACACTCCTTCCAGATAACTCCATGGCTTCCTGAGGCGAGCTGCCTCCAGCTCCGATCACCTCAGGAGTGTCCTGCAGTGCCTTCAGGAGAACCATCTTGAGGGATCGCTGTCGCTGTCTAAAGGAACCAACAAAGAAATAAATGATGGGGTTGATGCTGCTGTTAACACAGGAAAGGAGTACAAGCCAGGGACGAGGCAATATTTCAAAATCATATGCAATCCAGGTAATTAGGAAGTATTGAATGCCCATGGGCAGGCCGCAGAGGAGAAAACTCAACACTGTGAGCACGATGGTCATGCAGAACCTCGTCAGTTTGTTTCTGTGGAAACCACAGAACATCTTCAGCAGCAGAGCCAGGCTAGACCCAGAGAGAACCACAAACAAGAAAATCATCCATGCAACAAAGACAAAATTAACTGCCTTACAGTGTCCATCTAGATAATAATATAAAAGGCCACACGTGTATCCATGCATAATGCTCAACAGTAGAGACAAAATACAGAGCAGGGCACATGTGACAGTGGACATGTGTCTTGGACGTCGGCATCGGTACCAGATGGGGAACAGGACACATAGGCAGCGCTCAATGCTAATGCAACTGAGAATGCTCAAGTCTGTGGTGTAGGCAAAGACCCATAAAACAGTGAAGAAATAAAGGGAGGGGTGGCCGAAAGTAGCATATCCTATTATCAGAAATGTAATCTCCAGGAATAGGACAAGACAGTCAATGCCTGCCAGGGTGAAAATGTAGACCGAGAAGGAGTTTCTTCTTGTTCTGAAGCCCAGAAGCCAGAATACAATGATATTTGCAACCAGGCCACTTAGGGAAATGATTAAAGCAAAAATCTGCAAGAGCAAGGTCATTGTGTTATCATCTGGAGGATCAGGCGGGTAACTTCCATTCTCAATTGTAAATTCCATTTCCAATGCTTGGGTGATTGTATTCATGATCAGGGATTCTCCACTGGTGTCCCTGGAAACACAAACAAGATTGATCATTATAGAAAACAAACTATCTGAACTAGAACAGTGTATGTGTCAGTTCGGTAGAAGACTGGGGTTGATGTACCCAGCCAGGTCAGAGTCGTGATTGAAGTCCTGAGATGTGAACCAGGTGATAAGTAGTACCTCTTCTGGTCCAGTGTTGAAGGTGTTTCAAGGAGTAGAGCACCCAGCCTGGGACAGAGTTTCTGCTTTCCTTAGAGGAGCCAAGGTTGGCCAGTCTGGCTGGACGTGATGTCTTTGTCAGTCCAGGGAGTGGGTGAAGGAGAAGTACCCAGTCAGAAATGGCTTGTTTAAGGAGACAATTACTGCTGATCTGACATGTCCAAGTGTGCCATATGAGAGTATGGAGTATGTCGGGTCCAAGGGACTGGCCTCAGTCAGAGGAGGTGTCCCCACTAAACCATGAACTGATTGCATACCAGATGTGGCACAGTTAGTAGGCTCGAGAAGAAACACTCTGAGAATTTATGACTTTAGATATAAGACTATATAGGCATGGTCTGAAGTAGAGTTGAGTCTTGTAGAGGGTAGGGGTGGGCACTGTCCTCTACCTGGCAAGTAGTGAGGTGGGAGTGAACTTGTAAGGACAAGGAAGGAGACTGGAACTTTTCAGCTTTGTGGCTATCACTACCTCTGCCACTACTGCTGCTTGAGTTCTCAAGACACAAGAGGGCCACTTTGCGCTGTTTAAAGTTCTCTATTCTGTTGCTCTCCTTATTCGAGTTCTCAGTTAAATTTTCCCCATCTGTCAGTGTGTGAAGGACTTCCTCATAATTTCTTTTTAAGTGTTGGCTCAAAGAATTATAGTCAATACCTGTTCTTTTTGTTTTCTTGTATCTCAGGTGCAGAGATACATCTGTTTTTCCATAATCTTCCTGTTTATTTTATGATACATGGACCCTTGTTTGTTTTATGGTTTGCTTTAATGGGTACTTCACTTGATGTCACTTTGCTGAATTAGAGGATGACTTGCATGTGGCTGTGATGCTTGTTTTATGTTTTGTGCATGTGCTTTCTTGCTTGTTTATCATTTGCTCATAGGGGTACAGAACTTGTTGGTCTGTTTGCTGTACGAGGATGACTTACATGTTGTTGGAAGCTATATTACTGGTATTTCTAATACTAGCTGTGTCACTCATGGTGAACAGGATTCAGAGGAACTTCCAGGCTAAGACAGACTAATAAGCAGGATTGATCATCTGCTTCTAAAATGAGAGGCCTTCAAAAACCCTGTGATTTCCAGAGGAACATTATTAAATATTGTCCCCAAAGTAGAGTTCCCTAAATTGGAAGGCACTAAAAAATGAACCAACACAGCTGTGAACATCCATTAATAATAAGAAAACAAAATATAAGAATTAAGAAGTTGCAAGAAATGAATAAATGAAACAGACATTCTAGGTATTAATGAGCTAAGACGGACTGGTATTGGCCAATTTTAACCAGTTAGTCATATGATCTACTATGTTGAGAATGGCGAATTGAAGAGAAATGGTGTCGCACTCATCATCAAAAAGAACATTTTAAGATCTATCCTGAAGTACAGCGTTGTGGTAGTATACTATCATAGACATAGAAGGAAAGCATGTGGTGAGGTGGAGAGAGGAAAAGAGTTGTTTGTTTTAATAATTGTTTTATTGTCTCATAATTTTGGATACATTTTTAAGAAATAATGACTAGGATGTTTAAAACAATGTTATCTTGAAGGACAATACTGTGAGTGATAGGGTACTGAACTGGAAATCATTAGGGAAGCAGATTGCTTCATAATTTTCCCCCAGAGTGGCTGGTGGATTTGAACTGCTGATGGGGAGGTAATCTGCTAAGTGTCTTCACCACTTTGCCAAAGACTGCCAGAGGAACAGTGTTTGTGTTGGAGGAAGTGCAACCAGAGTGGATTTTTTAGATGCAAGGATATAGACAGTTTCATTTACCTTGAATACATTGTCAAGAGGGGCTAATCCCTGGGAAATTGGTGGATTAGAAAAAGAAGATCCTCCACAAAATGGATTGACAGTGACTGTAACAATGGGCTGGAACATATCAGAGATGCTTAAAGTGGAGCAGGAGAGGAGAAGGTTCAGAACTGTTCACTGGGTTGCTATGAGTCCTAGTCAACCTCATGGTCCTTGAAAAAAACAGCAACAACACTTGACTATTGACACTCATGATCACCATCGTGGATAGGAATCATTAGCTCAGTTTTACAGAAACAAGAGTTGGAGGCTGGCAGAGATTAAATGATTTCTCAAACTGTGAGGAGTCCAGAACCAGGATTCAATCTTAGATTTTTGCTGAGATTACATTTTAGTATGTCCATGCTTTTTTTAAAAAAACAAAACAAAACAACAAACAGAAACCATGGAGATATTTCAGGAAAGAGTGAGCCCTGGTGCGACACGGCTTTGTATGTTGGGCTGCTAACTGGAAGATCTGGACTGTTAGTGACTCTGGACAGAAAAATGGGTTTAGATATTTACAACCTAGGGAACCTGATGAGTCACCTTGAGTCAAATCCACTCAAAGCAGTGTTTGGGCTTCTGTTTCTTTTGTTCTGTTACAGAGGGGCTCTGGCTGTGATGGAATTGTGGTTAAGGTATTTGGCTGCTATCCAAAAGGTGGGCAGTCTGAACCCCCTAGATGCTCTGAGGGAGAAAGGTCAGGCATCTACTTCTATACACTCTACCTTGTCCTACAAGGTGGCTGTGAGTCATTGCTGGCAGTATTTGTTTATTTATTCTATAATGGAAACTCCCCTTTATCAACTCTCCATACACTTTTCAAAGACCATGTAACACCCCTCATCATCAAGTAAGTAGAAGGAGAAAAGATAGCCAAACTGGGTCTAACATTCCTTTTGTCTAAGGACAGAGGTTCCCTCTCAAGAATAGGAAACTGGGAGCCTTTTACTCACTCGTTGCTCTCAGATTTATTGTATCCATACACCAAGGAGAAAGGAAAAAAATGTTTTAAGGACCTGAAAGGAATATAATAATTTTCTAGACAGGTTTAATGATGTCCTGGCCTCTTATGCAAAATATCCTCTAATGTCTAAGGATTGGGGGAACAAAAAGGTCTTTATGTTGTCCTTTTGTTTTTGTTTTTGTTTTTGTGATTTCCTGTGCCTAGCTGAAGCTCTGGTGGCTTAGTTGTACGGAATTGTGCTGCCAAAGCCAAGGTACATGGTCCTAATCCACCAGGGGCTCTGTGAGAGAAGATAGGCCATCAACTCTCATGTTGTTTACTGTCCCTGAAAACCCACTTTTCCAGGTATGGGTTGGATCTGACTCAACAGTACAAAGCAACAGGGCCTAGTTCTGTCTGTGAGACACAGTGGGTATTTAGGAAATTTTAAATCACCAAATAAGTATATTTGAATGAATGAATGTGGAGCACAAGAATTTGGGTTAAAACAAAAAAAAAAGATCTTCGAGGCAAAGTTGTTTGGTTTTTTTTTCTACCCTCTCCCTTACTTCTCATCCCTATTAACCCCCAAATTTGATTCTATCTTTGTATAAATGTTTTCTTAGCTTTTTATATTGCTAGTTTTTACCATGATTGTCCTTCTGTGACATGCTTATGTCACCCAGCAAAATGTGTTCTAGTTTCACCAATGCTGTGCTCTAGTTCACAATCCTTATTTTTAGTGATGTATATATTACACCTCATTGTGTGAAGGTACCACAGTGTCTTTAGCCATCGTTCACTGATGAGTGCTTGAGTTGCTTCCAGCTCTTTGCTATTACAAATAGAGCTGTCATGAACAGGAATGTGAGTGTGTTAGATGGTGTTGCAGCTCTCATTTGCTTGGCTACACTTAGTAGGGAAGCGATGATGGTGCAGTCTGTGGGGACTTGCTCTATTAATGGTGGCCTCTCTCTGGTCAGTTGAATCTACCAGCAGCTCTGCAGGAGGAAAATAATCAGTATCCTCCCATGCAATTTACAGCCTCCCAAAAACCTGCTGCAAGGTCAGCGATACGTTGGTTCCAACTTGATGGCAATGAGTGTGAGTCTTTATTGAGTGGACTTGCTGGATCAAATAGTATTTCTGTTCCCAGTTTTCTAAGAAATGGTCAAACTGCTTTCCATAGTGGTGGTACAAATTTATATTTCCACCTTGTAAAATGAAATCTTTAACAATTTCAGTCTTTTCTTTGGATATCATGGTGCTGTTGGTTTGTTTTTCTTTTTTTCCCAATTGTGAGAGATTTTGTTTTCTTTATGTTGAGATGTTGTTATATGCCAGGGGATAAAATTTGTCCTGATACATTCGGCTTTTTCTCCTCTTGTCTTTAGATTGCTGCAGAGAGAGCTTTTTAAATAAGAGCTGAATTTAAGTGTTATTTTTATGTTGCCGTCCACTCACTGCTCCTGTTTTATAGGAGCCCGATTGATATGATTGTATGATGTGGGGAAAGGAAGAGCATTCTACAATTGTATGATAAGCTCTCAGTCGTTTAGTCTGTTCTTGGTTCTATTTCTTAATTAATGCTTCTCAGCTTTTAAAATGGTCACACATTGATTGAGATTAGATGTCTAGAAGGGTTTGGAGATGGGAATTTTTCTTTCTCCATTTCAGGTATACAGAAGTATATTGAGTATTTCTCTTCCCCTGCATAAATTTAACTCAAAACTCAACTCATTGCCATTGATTTGGAACTAACTCATAGCTAAATCTCCTGTAGGTTTTTGAAATCTGTAAATCATAGGGAAGGAGATTGCCCCTTTTTCTGCCAAAGATCCCCTGGTAGATTTCAGCTGACACAAACAGCCACCACATTGATTGTTGTTGTTGTTGTTGTTGTTATGTGCAGTCGAGTCGCTTGAGACTCATAGCGATCATATTAACAACATCCCTAAACTCTGCTCTGTCCTGTGCCAATCACAATGTCTCTGACACTCCCATCCCGATTATCCCAGTCACTGAATCAGTCGACCTCA